AATACATTATTATTTTTAGATTTTTTTTTAGTAGATAAGATATAATCGATCAATTATTGACCTGATAATTGATCGATTATATATACTCGAGCTTATAAATTATATGCTTGATCGATCAAGTTTATATAATTGATTTTTGATCGATTAAGCAAAATTTTTTTTGGTAAATCATCGAGCAGTGATTTTTTTGTCGAGTCAATTCACTAATACATATATATACATTTAAATAGACCTACCCGTTAAATACCCCAACCCTGTTGAATCCCATTGCCGGAATATTGCTCTATATTGATTCTTTTCTTCTTGTGTCACAGCCCACGGAATTTTAGCATTTCCCTGTAATCCGGCGGTGCTATATTGTTGCTGTGGATTCTGTTGCGGCATCATTCGTTGCGTAAATGGCACCATACCAGGCATTACAGATATCCCAGAGTTAGCAGGAACAGAGGAATATTGAGACACACTAGGAACCATCGACAATCCAGAAAATTGTTGCTGTAACATTTGAGGTTGAGGGACTGGACTATTACTTTGTTGTATTGGTATATGTTGTTGTGGTTGTTGTAGTGGTTGTGGTGGTTGTTGTATTTGTTGTTGCTGTTGCTTTTGCTCGATAATTTTTATTTGGTCTATAACACCTATTACTTCATTAAAAATGCTATCAGGTAATTTATTGGGTAACTCTTGTCCCTTTAACTTCAAACTTGTAAGATACATAGCAAGAGCAAACTCCGGGAAAGTGAGGTATTCATTTGCTGTTACATTTGAAAGCGTCCTAGATCATACGTATATGACTGAATGAACTCACATACATGTAATGACAAATAGAAATTCATTGTATTAATAATAACAAACCATATTTTGGCCAATGCATCAGAAGGTAATTTAGAACGCAAAAGAATTCCTCTTGCACCCTCGCCTTTAACATTTGAAAAATAAAATGATAAATAATATCGAGCAATCTATCGAAAAATTTTATAAATTTATAAAAGAAAATACCTGTTAAATACCTCCCCCCAGTAACACCTTGTATATAAAGCTTTTCAAATTCAACTTGATCTGCCGCGGTGATAAATGAAAGACGAACTAATATTTAAAAACATAACAAAAATAGATTTATAAAAAACATTAGACATTTAATATCATATAATCTCCAGAAAGTTGGCTAAGACAAGCATTAGATTGGACATCGTTTCCTACCGTTAGGTATACTTGGGCCTCCCGATGCGCTAGTAGTCACCACTTTATACATGGGTGTCGAAAATATTTTGCTCTCGGCGTAAATTTAAATGGCAAAAATAATTTTTGACAGTCGAAATCGCAAATAATTTAGTATGTCGAAAATATTTTAGTATGCCGAAAATATTTCTGTATGTCGAAAATACGTACGTACGTACAGTAGATACCACTTAAAGCCGACGTATTAGGCGCCAATTTTTTTAGCTGTTGTGTAACATAATTAACCAATAAAAATGCAGAAAAACTTAGTACAATTTTAAATTTTAATAAAATTTAAATTTTTATTAATAAATTTAAATTTTGTTATGTTTTATATATATATATATAAACGCCAAAATTTTAAATTATATATGTCGTGCATCAGTTTAAAATTTGCGTCAGATTAAAATTTAAATGCGGAGTTTTTTAGGGTAAGGGTGGGT